CCGAAGAACAGTCTGCAATTTATTTATTGTTGCTAGGGAGAAAATTAGGTTACCCATCATGCTTCCAAATTTTGTACCAACTCATCTTAACATAGGGATTTTTCTTTTGAAGATAATTACCCAGTCAGTAGTATTATTCAGTATGCTATACAAAGTAAGGAAATATTTTTTTTTTCAATTAATATAATTTCAGTTTGTGTATGGTATTTGGTAGTGATACCTCTCTTCAAAACTTAGGTGCTAAGAAGGAGAAAGGTTGTCACTTGGAAACTTCAGGTGAATGGTAACAACGGAATCAATCAAAATTTGGCCAAAAGTGGAAAGATTAAAATGCAGAAGTTATCCAAGTAAGGAAAATATCCATCCTAAATAACTGAACTTGTAGGTAAGGTTTAGCACTTCTAGTCATCTTGGAATAGAAGATAGGTAAGTTTTAGCACTTCTTGACAATTTCCATGATATTTGTCAAATGTATTATGAGGAAGTAGTCATATGGTGAGCTGACCATGTACCATTTAGGCCTTTAATAGACTTTGAGGGAGATTAAATGTAATCCTTTGGCAGAAAAATGCCGCATGTGCATAGGTATTATATTCAACGCTAGTCCATACTAGTTTCTCTTGTAGTCCACTTGTCTTATTCTCACTCTAGATTCTAGATAAGCAATTTCAAGAAGTGTGGAACAAACGTGAGAGGCGTGGTGAGGATACTATTGAAGCCCAAGGTTTATGCATGGACACCAGTTTGGATGGTTGCAGTGGCTTTTAAAAAAATATGCTTAATGATACAGGTCCCACTTGGAACCTTCCATATTTTTGTCTTGAACCTTGTTGAGTTATTTTTTAGGTTTTATTAGCGTTTGTGATCTGGTTCAGTCTTATGTACATTTGTTATGTTTTTGGGGGTCAAGGGCATTTTTTGTAATTCCAGAGTTTCTGAAATATGTTGTGCTGCTAACCTGGGGCTCTTAATTTGGTGTTATTTCTTTTCTTTCTTGTCATAGTAGTTAGTTTAGATGAATTATTGTGGTCAAATTCTATCATAGTCCTTAGTGGAGTCGAGGATTTGTTACATAAACATGTGCTCTTTCAACATCTACTGAGATAAATTTATAAAAAATAATTAAAAATTCTGGAAGTCTCTTTGGGCTTGTGCCATAAAACCATAACCTCAGATGTGATGCCCACGAGATCTTACGAGTGATTCCTAGTTTTCTTTTTTCTGCAACTAAGAAATTGCAAACATCCCTCACCAAGCATTTTTTCAATTTCTACAACCCTAATTCCATGGGACCATTCCTCTACAATAAAATTCCATTAATTCTAGCTACTTCAAAAACCTTAAAACCTAATTTTACTGCCCATAGGGTATGGGTCACCTCCCTAGAAATGCCCTTGGTCAGTCACCTTTGGAAGTGTTTAGGGTATATTGGGGTATCATGAGTAACTAAATTATTCAATAAAATTATAACGACTAAGAAAATATGGATAAAATATCCATGTATAAGAATTAAATAGACATACAAAATTACACAGACTATTGAGGTATTAAATAAAATGTGTCATACAAAGAATTTTTAGGAGAGAGTACTTGAGCAAAGACTAAAGTTTGAAATAATAGTATCTGTGAATCGAGTCTGGGAGATTAATAATGGAGGCCATATACTTACCTAGAGACTAATGGAGAGGTATGGGGAGAAAAATAATGACCTTTATATGGTTTTTATAGAATTGGGGAAGATATATGATAGAGTCCCGAGAAATATATTTTAGAGGGTTTTAGAGAAGAATAAAGCTATTGTTAGATATATTGATGTGATTAAAGATATTATGAAAAATGTGGAGAATTTAGTGAGAACAAGGTTAGGAGAGACTAATAAATTCTCAATCACCGGAGGCTTACATCATGAATTTCCTTTGAATCCATATTTTTTGGCGTTGATTATGGATGAATTAACTAGACACATTCATGATGAGCTCACATGGTGTACGTTGTTTGTAGATGATGATGTATTAGTTGATGAAAGTAAATAAGGAATTAATAATATATTAGAAATATGACAAAAAGCTCTAAAATAAAATAAAATTTAAAGATAAGTAGGATTAAAACTGAATACATAGAATGTAACCTTAGTAATAGGAGGAATCCAACCGGGAAGTAATAAAAATTGATGATTAAGAGATACCGAAAAGTGAAATTTTAAATATTTAGGGCCTATTATTCATACAGTGTGAAATTGATGGCGATATTACTCATAAAATTAAAACTGGATGGACTAAATGGAGGAATTAATTTTGTGTATTGTATGATAGATGCATACACCTTAAGCTAAAACAAAAATTCTATAGAATGACCATAAGACTCGCTATTCTTTATGGCATAATTGCCAAGTTGTAATTCGCATTGTGAATTAAAATCTTAAATTTGAGAATCGTGAATCGTTAGATTCGACAAAAAATTTAAACAAAAATAAAAAATAATATTTACATATTTAAAATAGGCAAAATATTGAATATTGAACATTATTGCATTCTAAAAATAATCAATTGACATAATCACATTGTCTAAGTGAAAATACGCTAACTTTTTGCTTCATTTTCATCTTTTACTTAACCGTTTTTAAATTCAACAATTTAAAAAAAAATTCATAAAAGAATCGTGTTTATTCAAGAACCAAAATAGGGACTTCCAGTACAGATTAGGTTACAAATATGAATGAAAAAAGAGAAAATAAAAAAATTTATTGGGAGAAAATATATAGGTCAATATTTTGAAACAAAAAAATAGAATCTAACAAATTATTCATGAAAGAATTGAGAGTAAAAATCAAAATTTATTCTAAAATATGGTGACAGGAGATAGAAAAATCCGATAAAAAAAAAGACATGCTACTGTAAGGAAGAAGAAGAAGAAGAAGAAGAAGAAGAAGAAAATGAGCAAAAGGTATACCTTCAGTCGATGACGCGAGAGCTTTAGCCGTGACTTTCAGTTTCAAACAATGCATGGCGAGCTTTAGACGATGCAAGAGAGAGAACGAGCTAAAAAATTAAGTTTTTATTAGGGCGTAAGTTTCTTTATAAACAAAACAACATTGGTTTACTGTTCAGCAGACAAAATAACATCGTTTTGACAAAAACTTGGATTTTAAAAAAAATAACTGAATTGTGCGATTCGTGCGATATGAATCAAATCGTATGAATCGTATGATTCAGATGCGATTCAACACTAAAAACAATTCTTATATAAGATACGAATTGTTTTGTGCTTGAATCGAATCGAATCGTGAATTGTATGATTTTGATAACTATGATTGATGGTATTTGAGTGTTAGATTAGTAAGAAATAACACGTTCAAAAATTAAGTATGACATAAATAAGAATGTTACGGTGGATGTGTTTTAAAATAAGGAAGGATAGAATTAGGAACTATTATATTCATAAAAAAGTAAAGGAAGCATATATAGAAGATAAATTAAGAGAGGATCGACTTAAGTGGTTTAGATATATTTATAGATGACCAACTACGACACCAATGAGAAAGAGTGATATGATAGTTATTAACGGTAAACATAAAGGTAGAAAAAAAAAACAAAATTAGCTTTAAATGAAATAGTGAAGAAAGATATGGTAAATTATAGTTAACAGAAAGTATGACCTTTAATAGAGTCCAATGGCGAAACATGTTTCATGTTGCCAACCCAAAAATTGTTGGGAGAATGTTTTGTTGAGCTCATTGAGTTGAGTTGAGGGTTCCGATTATAGTAGAATGTGTATACACATGGAAATGTATTAATTATGTATCAAGATGCATATAAATCACTTATGAAAGATAGTTATCTAATGTGCTTTTGCTTATTGCTTTTGCTTTTGAAGCAAAGAGCAATTTAATAAAATTACTCATAGAAGTATAAAAAAACATTATCAAAGGGAGCCTAATTCTATCCTAAACAACACCAGAAAAATTAGTTGTTGGGACAAAAATAACTTGGATTTGCAAGTTATAATCGTGATAACTCTAATAAAAAAATGGCCAAGTAAATTATTGATTCTCATGTAAAATGAAATTCATTTTTGTTCCATCAAGGAGTTTAGGGTAGACTTGGCGGCTGGGATGATACATATTTTTTTTTTTTTTGGTTTTCCGGATTTGAATAAATTTTAGGGATTTTAGTTTCTTTATCCTTTACTTTTTTCATAAGTCAACATTGCCAAAGAGCTAAATTGAAGTTTTTCAATCCAGCTCATCATGGGATGGCCCATATGAATGGAAGAGAGAGTTAGGGAGGAATTAAGATGACATAAAGCAATAAGAGATATTGAGAAATGGAAAATATTGAGGGCAATGCTAGTAATGTGGGAAGCATGACGACCAAAAGAGATGGTGGGAGGACTAGTCCAATCTGATAAACTATTTAGGATTGAACAGGCTATCTGATTAACTTTGTACTTTTAACTTGAAAGATTCTCATTGATGAGTGAGGAATGCTGTATTTTTGGAAAACCCATTTCAAACATGGTGTAGAGTAGTGTTTGTATTAGCGATGAATGAGATTTAAGCATAGTTTATTCAAGGTATTAGGAAAATTGTTCACACTTGTCAAACTTTAGAACTTCGCCGTGCTCTTGGGAACAGTATAATGTACTTCACTTTGGTTTGTTCTACTATACTTTTCTCTGTATATACATTTACTTTCTCCTGTTGGAGTGCTATTGGACATTTCATCTTTATGAAAGAGGGAGATACAAGGTTTTGAACCAGGATAATGCCTGGAGGGAAGAACAAATTACTGAGGAAAAGCTCAATTTTACTTTTCACATGCTGCGACAAATTAATGATCAAAACCCAATTATTCTAAGTAACTACTAATAATGAAGAAAAGAAGAAGTTTGGAAACAACGGTGGCCCTTTATTTTATTTCCACTATGAAATTAATTGAAATACTTAATTTTAGACTTGTGACCATTATTATTTTTCTCTACATTGACTTTTTGTATAATCTATGCATTTCTGTGCTTTAGGCAAAGGGCATGTTTCCAGTGTCCATCCAATTACAACTGCTAAGGTGCCTATTCTGAAAGTTGTTGATTGTGGGACTGGAATTGAATGTGATATATCAGTTGAGAACAGAGATGGAATTTTGAAATCCCATATTGTCCGCATGATTTCTTCAATTGATGAAAGGTTTCAGAAGTTAAGTTTTTTGGTAATTTCTATACATCACTGTATTGTTCATATATATTTTCAACTTTTAGCGACCTTGCTCAAGAACCTGCACATGGTATAGGCACACACATAGAGATAGCTTTGATCTTATTTTTGATATGATCAATACACTCTTTCACATATACATTGTATTTATGAATAATTGTTGGTTCAGAGTATTTCTTTGCCTTCTCCAATTCACAACATTTTAGTTTTTGCACGAGTGTCTATTGACTGAAGTACTTTTCCTCCGGCACAATTATTACTATTCATATGCAATAGATATTTTCATGTTTATTCTTGTATAGAGCTTATTATTGTTGGATGTATGTCACTTGGATAGTTTTTGCTTCTCTTGTATGTCATTTGGATAGTTTTTACTTCTCTTGTATGTCATTTCAACATATAGGCCTCTAAATAATCTACAGGGGATTTCATCGGCTTAAATTTTCCAGTTGAGGTAACTTTAACATGCTTAGCAAAACCTTCACACTTAGATTATAATTTTTTCAGAACTTGGAATTAGACGAGAGGCAATATTGAGAAACCAAAAGTTCTTGAGGATTCAAAGATGTTGCTGTTTGGTGCGATAGTAAGAGGGTTTATTAAGGTGCAGTGGGAATTTGTTTCTGAATCTCTGACCATACCTCGAGAGTAATCCATCCATGGGTAACAAAAATAGGAAAAGCCTGATTTTCTGTGAGATACTGGACTCCAATGTGTGTATTGTTAATCGAAACGAGGATCCCATCCCAAATTGCATGAGCAATTAATAGTCTTATATGTGATGGACAAATCTGTTTGTAAGAGGAACTTAGGGGCAAATATTATTGTATTTAGTGTCGATATGTATAAGAGTTTATGCTTCACTTTCCATGTTATACATTTTTTGCTTCAAATATACTGGATTCAGATACTATAAGTATGAAATTTTACCCGTCTTTGCAGATGAAAGCTTGGGCAAAAGCACAAGATATTAACAGTTCAAAAGATCGAACCCTGAACTCTTTGTCCATAATTCTTTTGGTTGCTTTTCATTTGCAGGTATGATACTGAATAGAAATTTCCTTATTCCTTGTGCTGTTGTAAAGCTTCTCTTAAGCTTTTTCTACCACTTTTGTGGGACCCCATAATGTGCCTGGACCAACTGCTTTACCATTTGCCCCTACCATTCCTTTGTGTAAGCCAAGTATTTTATGTTATCAAAGGTTGAAAGTAACCAATTTGTGCATCAATTATCATTCAAAATTTCTTTTTGGTGAATTGTTTCGTCACATAGGAAACGAAAATGTTTTAAAAATAGATAAAAAAATTAGTAATTTATTTTTAAATATTCCAAAACGTTAGTTGAAATATACATCTGGAAACACCTTGAAACATTTCAAAATATTGGTGGAAATATACCAAAACAACTCGAAACATTCCGAAATAATTCGAAGCATTAGAATTTCGATTCAATCATTGATTCATTTGATCTCATTAGAAACGGAAACGTTTTGGCCATTTCTACTATTTCAAAACTAAATTTTGATCCTTGCCAATTATTAACCTTTTATTGAAAGAAATGTGATTGATCACATCATTGCCTATATCAAGTCTTGATATATGGTGCGCATGAAGGTTCGTGAATATAGCTGGTCTTCAAAGTGTGAAATTTGTTACCTCTCACATATGCATACAACAAATTTCAATCCATAGATTATTTATATACAATTATATGCTGCACAATTTGTATATTATCTGCATGTGGTTTGAGCTAATTCAACTTTACCTTACTATATTTAGAAACATAAGCCATGTGATTTGGGACAAAATTATGGATTACCTCCCTGTTTTTGCACTTTGGTCCCAAACCATGGGGGTTGTGTAAATGTTTAAAATATGGAGAGCTAACTATCACCGGCTCATAGTATAGGGAGGTAAAATATAATTTTACCTAATATTTATACTCTGCTAGATCATGCTTATTTGCACGGGCATATAAGAAGTGGTTTAGTGCAAGTTAAGAATGGCATATGAAATATTTGTTATACTTCAGTAATTCGAGACAGACTTTCTCTAAGGGTAGTCAAGGTTCAAGCATAGATGCCTGTGTTTATGGCATCTGTTATTATCTTGCTAGAGTGTAGTGACCTTCTGAATGTGAAATCAAAAGCTGCAAGCGCCTGTGCTAGCAGCTAGGTTTCTAAGCTTGTACCGATGAGGAAAATGCTAGAAGGCACCTGCATTTGTTTCAAAATGAACACAATTGGAATTTATTATCTATTCCTCTTGCTATTATCAATTTGGTTCATCACTTAATGGAGTTACTGCTTGCTTCAGCTTTCCAGTGAACTGAGCATCAAATTAGGTACCAATTCATCTTTATTTTGATAGTAGCTTGCGAAAACGTTGTACAAAGAGGACAAGGAATCCTCCAAAAGTACAAATTGAAAATAAGTGTAATGCAGAAGGTTTCAGTCTCTCATGTCTCTTACACACTTGTGTCTAATTGTCCTCTATCAAAAATAATGGAATATCTTCAATCGTTACATGTTAAAGCCCATAAAGATACCAAAAGTGATATTTTTTTCTCATAGGTCATCCAATGAAACTGTCATGCCATTGTCTTCATAATCAAATCCCAAGGAGTGAGGTATATATAAACTCAAAATTTACAACCAAATCAATATTCACTTAACAAAAGATTACAAATTTTCACTATTTACAGTGTTTTCAATACAAAATGTTGTACAATTCTGATCAAATTTCCCTTGGTCAAAATCCACCTAGGCTAGTCCTACCGCCGAACTAGATTTTCCGGATGTTTTTAAACAATTCTGAAATGATATAAATCAATTAGGACGAGCACAATAAGATCAGTTGTTAAATCATGTTTCAAAACGCATACGGTTTTCAAAATAAAATAGTTTTGTAAGTATCCAAAAATCCATAATTGATACATAATAAAACTATTATTCATCAGAACTTAAAATATGTGACATACCAGAAAATGAGTAACCAATTCTAAGTCATTGAAATATCAATTCAATTACATCAAACCTTAAAGGGACTTTCACCTCGGGAAGATACGCTCCCCTTTATATCCATTGAAACCCTAGCTTGAGGGGCACTGGGCCTCCAAGCTTGATGAATGAACCCTGAAACCCTTTTTAGTGTTAATGATATTCACAATCCCTTTGTTGCTCAATTCATGTGAACATATTCAATCAAAACTCATTTTCTAAAAAAATTGGGTTTGAAATATTGCAAATGTATAGTTTTCTGAATCATGTAATCGGAGCATGTAAAGCAAGCTTTCATAATCAAATTAACGCTTAGAAATCATTATAATGATTTAAATCACGTATACACAACATTGTAAAAAAAATTCATGCATCTCGCAAAATTGAAAAAACTTGCTTCGGATTTGTTTTTGAAGTCGGTTCTGGTACTGTAAATAAAACAATCGAGATGGTTTTAGAATAGTCATTAAAATTAGGTTAAAATGAACTTGGAATTGAAAGATCTCAAAGTTGATGCCCGAAATTGATTTGAAATCGCATATAACAACCATTTTTAGTACTATATCTAAACGGAGTACAAATCGGTTGTGTAGTACCTTTTTGGAAAGCCCATGACAAGAGGATTGAAATGGTCAAAATTTCATCCTCAAACACTTCCTCGTGTGCCTACGGGTGTCTAGGGGTGAAAATGACCCTATTCATCATCTTCTCCATTGAACGGGTTAGGTTTTAGGTCATTTGGTCAGGTTGGGTAAAATGAAATTTCTTCTCATTTAACTCCAATTAAGGTGACTCCAAAGCTAGTGAAACTAGTCATCCATCCAATAGAGTCGGGTCCAATTACAAAGCAAGTCTAAAAACTCATAAAATATTGATTCAAGTTCTTAGTCTCCATGTCCATGAAAAACCCACGCCTACAACTCCTTTTTTAACCCACTAGACCTTGGAATTTTTGCAATTAAACGTAATTTTGAACTCTCGGACCTTAAAAACATTGGAATAGGTCATCTTTTTAAATCAAAACATGTTTTATGAAAACTCGAATCCCATATTTTTCTCTCGAATTTTTTGGGGGAAATATCACTCGTAGGGACTACTAGAAGTATTAATTTAGTGTAGAAAATGCAAAAATCTAAGAGCACATTACTTTGAAACTTTTGGATTTTTTCAGACCCGAGTTTCTTCTAGACCAAAATTTACTCTTTCAAATCAATTTCAGTCCATGAAATGACTTAAAGGTATAGAAACCTCTCCCAAGCTTCAAAAATTCGAACTAGACTTTGAATTTGGTACAACCTCCTTCCTCCTTCCTTCCCTCTTTTTCTTACTCTACTTTCTCTTTCTTGAAACCCCTCTACTCCTCAACAAAATTAGCAGAGGACTTCTGCAATTCAGCCCACTTTTTATAGCCTAAGACAGCCACTTCCATGCTAGATTGGAAGAGCTAGAATCGGCCACCTCCTAGTTGGATTTGGAGTGGTCCAATTGGGATCTCCCCAATGATCCAGTCCGATTTTTTTTTTCATTATTTGAATTTTAATATCTTAATATTATATTTTATTAATTTAATTTAATTTATTATTTTCAAATTATACCAGTTATCTTTATTGAATCGCCAAATTACCTCTTTGAATGTCGAGCTGAACTTTTTTTTTTTTTTTTCTTTCCACTATTTCGAGCAAAAACTTATTTATTAATATTTATTTTTTGATTCATTCTAGATTCCGGCATAATTCAGATCAACACTTTTTGTCGGGTGTTACAAAAAGTGCTTTATCGCCGGAGAACCTTCTAGTCGGTCCTAGCCCTACCACCCACAAAGTTGCCAAAACCGTGCAACTCAAGACGGTTTTAAATTGCAAACTTCTTCCAAAACCCTATCATTTAATTATAGGCATTGACAACATTGTGGATGCACCCATGAGACTCTCCTCTACTAACAACAATTTGTTCCATGCAGACGAAGTGTCTGGATAATGTAATAGCAAATTATCCATTATTTCCTCACCATGTTTGCAATGAATATGCCATTGGGATTGATCGCATGGTTAGTGGTAGGTTCCTCATGTGTACTGGGCCAAATATTAGATCAAGTAAATAATTGATCTTTTAATGGTACCTTTGACTGCTAGGTCATCTTACAAAGATAAAAAAAAATTGGAACAAGCTCAATTTCCTTAGATCTCTCCACCAATCGTACTCAAAATAATATCCACTAATATAAACAAAAAGTAGATGAGGGATTATCATTTCCAAGACCCTTAGAAGCTGTGAAATACTTCCCCGGTTTGTCACTGATGATTATTGAAAAGTTAGTCGCAGACAGAAATTCTAGAATCCATCTCATCTGCTTATAGATTAAGCATATATAGTATTTGTATTTGTATTTGTATAATATGAAGAATAGGTGACAATAGAAAAAAATCTTGCTGCAAAGCAATTTATTTTATTAACCATTGTTGTTAAATAGTACAATTTTAAATTGAGACACGGGTTTTGTTGAGTTGATGAATTGAGATTATGACAAATTTCAAGTAAATATATGGGTACAATTGGACATTCATATTTTTATTAATTAATTGTTACACCAAATGTTGTAGTACTAAGATATTCCATCCCAACATAAAAAAAGATACCCACCAAGACACTATTCATAACTATGAAACAAAACTTCAATCCTTCACATGTTCATGTGGACCCTATTTTCTTTAGTTTCTTAAAATACTTCTGGTACTGCCCGATTATGTAGCAGCACAATGTCGTGATCCTATCGTTTTTCTTTTATAGTGTGTTTGAAGCTTAAATTGGTTCTATTGATTTTTTTTTTCTCTGAAATTCATGTATGGCTTACATTTTTGAACTTGTACCTAAATGTTTCTGCATTATTCAGTTTGCTTTTTCTCTAGTATGATTATTATTTTTACAATTATTTGTTTCTTGGTATGTTGCAGACTCGAGATCCTCCTATATTGCCTCCATTTTCTGCCATATTAAAAGGTAATAACCCTGGGTTTAGCAATGGGATATATTTCCTTGGTATTTGATCTCATGGGAAGAATAGTTTCTGTTATTTGAGATCACTTGAGATAACGTGAAATTCTGTTGAAGAAAGTTCTAGGTTTACCATGTAGCTTGACCAGTTTCAGATTTCCAGACTTCCTACTTGTCTGTTTGACTAAAGTTCATGCCTGAATGATATTTTCAGATGGTGATATTACTTTGTTGGTTTGATTCTATTACTATGTTGTAAGCGAGTTGGAAACTTTGTCTGTCACTTCATCCCTTGCTTTCTACACAAGTTGGAATATCTACATACCCTTGACATGATATTGTGATTAAAATCAATAGCCTAATAAAATAGTAAATTGGCCTTCCAAATCTAATCCAACATAGGCTGGGTCCCTCCAGACTTTCTTATCTCTCTCGATCTCTACTTGGGTATCAATCACACTAGGATGCTTTTCCTTTTTTTTTTTTTTTCCAGCATTCGTTGGACCTCCGTGTGCACTTCTTATAGTGATAAAAACTGATGATTTTTTTCCACTCAAAAGAAAAAACAACTTGGCTGGAATTAGCAGTCCTTGCCTCTAGCTTGAATTATGGACTATTTAATGTACCTGTGTCATCATAAAGGGCTCACGCAGATGTTCTACTTATGTTGATGAAAGATTTAATGTAGGATTGTTGTAGATTTTGGTTGAAAGTCAGATAAGGCGCTTAACCAATCTAAGGCTAGGTTTTGATAATATGATGAAAGAGATTGCCAGTGGCTGTTATCTTAAGTTTTGTGTGACAAAAGCAGGGTGATAGTCAATTGAAGTGCAAGGTCTTGGTCCAAGGGGAAAGTTCAATGTTCTGGTGCCCCAGTTTCCATCCAATCAAACTTACAAAGAAAATGATAAATTGACTTTGATTTTTTGCATGTACATTCATATATACCAGAATACCAGTAACTTACCAAAGTGTAATATGTATTAAGGTGTTATTACTTTAAGAATAGTGCAATTTTTATGTATGCTGGCATGTGGGATCACTTGAGCTAAAGAACTGCAACCTGTTGGAGAGCTATGGTATAAAATTCAAAATATATCATCCAAGAAAGTTTTTGTTTTAAATGGGTTTACTATTGACCTGGTTATAAATATTTAATTTTATGTTTCCTATATATTGCAACTTTGGAATATTCTCAAGATTAATGCCCAGAGTCTTCGATGCCATTACTTCTTGTCCCTTAACCATGGTGTAGGGTTCAAAGTATCGGTCGAGTACAATACGATTCAGCCGAGTCGTGCGACTTCGCTCCCTTTGATTCGATAACGGTACACTTTACAAATCTCGTGAGTCACATCGGAATCGGTCTTAACTCGGTTTTATCTTCCCAACTTGAAGTCGACTCGGTTGACTCGGACGATTCATATGGGAATCGGTCCGATATGTTGAAAGATGGTTCAAACTCTCCAAAATCTCGAAACAAATAGTAAAAACCTAGAGCAAGGGGAAAGGGGGAAGAAATACTAAGACCCACTTGCGAAAATACATGGAGAAGCATAGAGAATCCCTTCTTCGTTGATAAGAAGTCGTGTACGAGAGGCCTAACCTCATACTTCTTTCCGGTTATTGACGGTGATTCTTTGAATTTGATTGTTGGTTCTTTATCTCTCTCTTTCTATATGTCTATTTATATATATGTAGATAGATATCATTATCTCTAAATATGTAGATGACAGGACGAACGAAGCATTGAACCCTTTGGACACAAACAGAGAGTCAAAACAAGACCATCACTATGTTGGTGGTTTAAGATAAAGTTTGACTTTTTTTTTTCTTGATCTGTGACTTTTCAGTATGTTTAATATGTTAGACAATGTATTTTGGTTGTATGAGACATGGATGTTTATATTTTTTATGATTTTTTTAGATTTTGTGGGCTCTCTATGTCATGGTTCAAGGTTGCTATATCAACTATCAACTCGAAGGGTTTTGAGACACATCGGTTACGACATCGTAGTGCGGTATTGGATGGTACAACTTAAAAGTTGAACATGATAAGAGATTTAGGCCATATTGCGGTATTGCGGAATGGTATTATCTGATTCAGTGACTATTATTCGATGACAGGGACAAATTGGCTGAATTGTGGGAGATTTGGGGTTATACTTAACATGTAATGGTATCGATTCGGCTATATTGTGATCAATGTGTATCAGTTTTCTCTGAGTTAAATGACCGATATTGCAACCTTGAAGCATACCACGGTGACAATCATAATTCAAAATATTAGCCGATACCGATATGAGTCGGTTGAGTCGTATCTAATTTGGCACCTTCCGAGACGATACCGTTACATAATGTGTATAAACCCCAAGTCCTAAGTAGTCTTTGAGTCAATTTTGAGTCGTCAATTTATTGTCAACGAATTGACTAATTTATCACCATCGAATTGGTCGATACGATTCTGCGACACTGTGATGACTTGAATTTTTCGCCATATTCACTATTTTTTTTTAAGTTATATTGCCCAATACTGTGCTGCCATACTGCGACCGATGTGTTTTAAATTTTTTTGATTCGATGACCGATACCATGACCTTGAATCATGGTGACAATGGTAGGAACTTGATATGGAAATGGTCAGTGATTTTTTTTGTTACTTCTTTTCTCAGTGTTCAGGTTCTTGGGTAGGATTGTAGGAATAAATATTCAATATCATGTCATCATTAGCACATGCTATCATGACCCAAGAAAAGACACCACATTTGTATGGTGTATCATGCATCTATATGGCACAATCCAATACTACTATGGGTGGGGTATTTGTGTGTGCAAAATGCCTTGTTATTAGGTTGTGATAGCAGGTGTCAATGATTACATGTGGTGTCATCTTTGTGATGAAAATTGACACTGTTAAAGGATAAATAATTAAGATACACCATCTCTAACAACTTAAACTTTTAGAATAGATGATAGTTTAACGTGGTACAGAGTTAGGCATTGGATGGTCAATGACACAAGTCTCTTATACATTTGAATTTCTCGATATGCAGGATTTTTTTTGTTTGTTGACCAATGTACGAGCCCAGATCCCACATGATGTAAGGTGTTAAGAGAGTTTGTATTCCACATTGAATAGTTAGGAGCTTTGAGGTTAGTTTATATACTTGAAGGGTCACTCCACCCATAGACAATTGGTTTTGGGTTGGTTGTTTTAACATGGTATCATGTTAAACCACCATCTATTTCAAAAGGTTAAATTATTGGAGAGGGTGTAGCTTCAGTATTTATTCTTCAACGCGCAGGTTATTTTTGGGCCTCACACGTGAAATTCTTTTAATAATTAGAGTAGCGACGAGATTCGAACATATGATGTCATGCTCTGATACCATGTTAAACTACAATTTACTCTAAAAGTTTAAGTTGTTCGAAAGAGCGTAACTTGAGTATTTAATCATCAACGGACACCTTATGTAGCTACTTTGTTATTGGAGTGTAATATTAACTAAAATTGGTTTTGTGTGAACATACCGTGAGGAAAAGTATCATTGACCTTTTGTTCTTAGAAAAGATATGTTGTATATGGTCCACCTCTTCTAGCTGATTGCACTCTCTAAAACTATAGCCACCATCGCACCACACTCACCACTGTTTGTTCTTTCAATACCACTCATTCCACTGTTTAACTGTTCATCAATCTCTTGGAAAACATGGCCCAATTTCTCTTCTTGCTTTTTTCAGGGGGCCCAATACTCATATTGGTCTAATGAGATGAACAATTGTTTGCTTTGGTTGTGGGAGACGAGTTATGTTTCTAGTTCAGAAGTAAAATATCTGATCCTAGAGGTAAAGAATTTGAAAACTCTATTGCTAGATGGGAGATGGAGAATGCTCGGGTCCTTACTTTGCTATGTAATTCCTTGGAATTCAGTATTGGCACGAATGTTTCAAACTTTGGCACTAGAAAGAAAGTATGAAATTATTTGTACCAAATGCATTTGAGTTGCAATTTCGTGAAATAACATCAGTTAGAAATATTCGAGCTGCAACGCAATGAGATAACCTATTAAGAAATTCTGCAATCAGATGACTATGGACTGGATCAGTTGGTGCTCTTTGAACCACTAGACTCACAAATATTGAATAGTTACGTACAATGTAGAAAAAAAGGATGGTCCAATTTTTTATGGCTCTCAGAGATCAGTTTGAACCTCTTTGTGGTGCTGTTCATCGTCATATTCCACTTCCTATTATTGAGTGAGTTACTCTAGAACTTATGCTGAGGAGACTTGATTTAAGGTGGCTTATGTTGTCTCTTCTTCACAATTAGGGTTTGTTACTCCTACTAAAGCCTCTATTGTTGCCTACTTTCTCTGCACAACTCATACAAGTAACTAGAAATTCAAAACCATGTGTTGGTATGGATGAGTGCATTTTTATAATCAAAAAACACACTAGAAAGTTTTGTAGTCCCAAACTTCAGAACGGGTGTTCTTCCACTCAATTGTTCTTTTCATAGGTTTTTGTTCGTCCATTTATATCTAAATTTAATCCAAACACTGTCTCGCCTAGTACTGTTCAATCAGTGATTAAGCAGCTATAGTCAATGCTTGCTACTTTCACTGTGGATCAGTCTAATTGCTCCGCTATGGCCGTCAGTCATTCATGTTTGATAGGTTGGTACATCTCGGTTATATCATCTTCTGTTTAGATTTTTGATTTAGGTTGTTCTCATCATCTGCTCCTTTCCCATCTTCTCTGTAATTGTCTCTCTCCCTTCTCTTAATACTGTTGTTACTGGTAATGGTTCTCCAATGCATGTTTCCTTTGCATATTTCTTCCCTATTTGTCCTCATCGCTTTCTATCCTGAATGTTTTATATGTTCTACAATTGTATGTTAGTTTACTGTTGATTAGTCAAATTCTCTGATTTGGATTTGGATTTTGTGCTTTCTTCTTTGGTTATATTGTTCAAGATCGCAAGTCGAAGAAGCAGATTGGAATAAGGCGTAGAGTTGATGATTTATGCATTCTGAAGCACTTACATTTCTGTGCAGTCTAGTCCTTCTGTGTTGTCTTCTATTTAACCTGCAAAATCATTCGTCCCAAATTTATTTATGGCATTCTAGGTTAGGTCATTGGTCTGGTGAGCGTTTGAAAAATTTAAATTCCTTTGCATTTTAGTCAATGTATCTCCTAGTGACATCTTTACTTGTAGTGGATGTAAATCTGCACAAAAATTTGCTTTACATCTTATTATCTGCATTACTTTTTCTACTTTTCCTTGTTCATACTGGTTGTATTGGGACATTCTCCTGTTTCCAATAAACGTCATTCTATAGGGTATGTTTCCTTTATTGATGAACTCTTCATTATTAGGTATATATGCTATGACCCACAAATCTAATTCCTTTTAAATTTACCATAACTTTCTTTTTATGTTCACACTCGTTTTTCCACACCAATAAAAGTTCTTCGTTTGGATTTGGATGAAGAAAATTTGTAGAAAGATTCCAACAATTTATTGGATGTATCTAGGATAGGGGATCAATCATATTGCTCAGGTTCTCCTAAATAAGAGGGTGTTGCTAAGTGTAAGCACATATGTTTTCTTGAAGCTGTGTGTGGTTTTCTTTTTTCTTCTGTTGTTTCATCTATCTTTGAGGTAAAGTTGTTCTTATCGCATTTTATCTCTTAAATTGTATACCTACCTCTTTGAATGTTGTTGCTTGAGCACATTTCATATTTCACCATTCGTGCTGAAGTAGCTCATCTTTCTGGAGATGAACTTGTGCATATTGACCCTCCCTTCTCTTAGTGTTTTTGATATCCCTGCATCAGTTGATGCTTCTTCATTTCATCTCTCTTGTTCCGAATTCTCTCCATCCTTTGGACAATTCTTGTAAGAAAAAATCATTTTTCACATCTCATGATATGAGCTCTTATAGGCCCAATTCTAAACCTATGGACTTCTAAATGAAAGTATCATATTCGCACTCACAATCCACCGGTGATTGTTTTTTGATACTTGTTGTTCTCCTTGCCATTCTTTTACTTCTATTCATTCTTCTTTTGAGCCCAGTCTTATGATGAAGTCAGTACTGATCCTAATTGGATTAGTATGATGCAAGATGAGTTGGTTGTTCTTCATAAGGCTCCTACCTGAGATCTAGTTTCTTTGCCTCTAGTTAGGGGTGTCCCTGGGCCGGGTTACCCACGTGTCCAGTTGCCCGGCTCGAAACCCAATAAGCCCAATAGTTGGCCAGCCCAGCGCGAGCTCGAGCTCGAGCTCGAGCCCAAGTCCAATATCCTTAAAAAGAGGACTTGAGTTTACCCTCAAATCCATTACCTGGCCTGACGCCTGGTTCAATAGCCCGCCTGAAAAAATTCAGCCCAAGAGCCTGCCCGTCAAGCCCGCCCACCTTTTGAAAAAAAGTTATACTTTTAGACCATTAAATTTGAAATTTTAAAATAAGTCTCCCAATGTCGGAATTTAAAATTTTAAAAATTTAGATACTATAGATAATGTATTATTTTCTTTTTCATGTATCAAGCATACAAATTTTAAAGGATAAAGTAATGCAAATGATAGATAAGTGAGTAGGTGTCAAACTAGTTGAGATACTATAGATAATGTATTATTTTCTTTTTCATGTATCAAGCATACAAATTTTAAAGGATAAAGTAATGCAAATGATAGATAAGTGAGTAGGTGTCAAACTAGTTGAGATGTATTCATTGTATTGGATGTAATTCATCTTCTAATCAAAAATAAAATTATTCATTATTTTATTTTTATTTATTTTGACTCTACTTTTGATTCAAAAATATAATTTACACAAATATTAAATTACAAAAAATATTCATTATTTTTAAATGAAATTGTATATAAAAAAGATCACGAGCTGGCCCGCTTAGCAAGTTTGCCCAAAAAGCCCGCCCACATGTCCGCCTAATAGGCTCGTCTGTTGGGCTGCGAATAGTCTACCCCCACCCGAAGTCCGACCCATCCGATAACTTAGTTGGTTAATGGCTTGGGCCTATACTAAAGCTTGACCCAAAAAAAATTTCGCAGGCTTAGCTCAGCCCAGCCCAGCCCATAGACACCCCTACCTCTAGGTGGTAATATTGTTTTTTACTAATGGGTTTTTGAGGTTAAGAGTCATACTTATTGTGCCCATGAGCGTCATAAAACTTGATTAGTGACTTAAGGATTTTCTTACTAATATGGTGTTGGATATGAGGAAATATTTTCTCGTATTGCAAAAGTAATGATTGTTCAATGAAGCATTTTATATCTGTCCCCCTCCTTGTCTTTCTCATCCCTGTTGCTATGCTTGTTGCTTCATCAGGATTTTTATGATCTGATGCAAGCTCCCCGAGTCTGATATTAACGATTTCAGTTAATTGTTACTTAAATTGGTTTTGTTTTTACTACTCATGATCCTTCTCTACTTGTTCGTCGCTCAACCCAAAGCTTGGGTTTTTTATTTTGGTTCTCTCTGGTCCAGATGCTGTCGCTATGGACCAAGAGAATTGACATGTTTTACTTGAGTTTGGGATGAAGAATTTTAGTTCTCTACGCAATACTATTGGATATTGAGGTTTATGCTCTATTCTTTCTTTCACTCTGCATGCCTATGCTAATTTTGATTGGGCCAAGGATTCTGATATGTGGTTCTCTTATTTCTTGAAAAGTGAGGAACAATCAATTATTAATCATGTTCTACTGTTGAGCCTGAGTATCATGCTGTCGCACATGCCACTGTTGAGATTGTTTGGCTACATTGGCTTCTATAAGATATGAGTGTTGTTTTTTCCTCTCCTCTTTTGTATTGTCACAATAAGAGTGTCATCCAGATTGCTCACAATTTCATCTTTCATGAACATACGAAATCTGTGGAGATTGATTGTCATTTTATGTCTGTTTAACATCTTCAATGGGGCATCTTCACCAAGCTTCATACTTTTGCATGTTTTGGATTTTTATTTGACAAACTCTCGATGCTCTTCGGGCTTGCATCATGAGTTTGAGGCCAATGCGACTGGATTGTGAGAGTAAATATGTTTGTATGTTATAGGGTATTTTTTTCTTCTGTGCAATCTAATGTTTTGTTGCTGTGTATGTATTGTCGTAATATGTTGTAAAGTGAGGAAAAGTATTATTTGCGGTCTTTTCTTAGAAACTCTACAAGTTTAATTGGTTATTGATGTATATGTGGCCCTGATATGTTCTAGATGGTACCAATCCTGCAATGGTGGGGAAGTTAGTACATAAGTTTTTGAACTATGGAAAAAGCAATAAAGAATCCTTGGCTCAGCTCTTTGTTACTTTACTAATCAAGGTAATGTTTGTTCTCTTGGTGTGTTAATTTCATCAAGGGTAAGCTGTATTTTATCTGCTTGTGGTTTGAGTCATAAATACCTCGTAATATTTTAAAACCTGCACATAATCTCCTGTGGTTTTGGACAAACGTATTACAGCTAACGAGATTAACAAGTTAGGATAAAACGACAATAATACCTACATCATTTTTTCTATTTTATAGTGTTTTTTATTCCTAAAAATTCTGCGAAAATAGAAAAATATACTTAATGCATAGAAATGGAAGGGAGAGAGAGATTAATTTATTGCAGCGCGACTACAATTAATACTATAGTATTTATGTGGGTATAAAGTCATTTTTATGTGTTATTTGGTAGGTTCAATGGAATTTCTAATGGCTTTAGTTTAGTCTAAAACCACTGGGGGTTACATGTAGGTTTCTAAACTGTGAGGAGGTAATGTGTTACTGGGTGAATCCCATGGGAAGCAATCTGTAATTTTCCCTTTAATTAATCCTTACCATCACAATCTTGCCTGTCTGCCAGTTTCTTACCAAAAGAAAATAGGGGAAAATACATGACCTATAGTTTTTAGAAGGTACTGCATTTTCAAAACTGAAGTTTGTAATTCTGGTGGACCATGTTTGCCATTGCAGTTATCATCTATTGAAAAGCTTTGGCCCAAAGGTATCTGTGCGAGCACATTTGAAGGATCCTGGATATCTAAAACATGGGATTCAAAAGTTGGCTGTATTAGTGTAATTATAATTCTTCTGTTTTAATTTCTTATGCCTTAGACAGACTGAATGTATGCTAAATATTTATCTTCTGCAGGTTGAGGATTTCACAGATCGGTCTCAAAATGTAGCAAGGGCAGTAGGCAAAGAAGAAGTAAAGAAGATCTACAAGTGCATTAAACTTTCTATGTCGTATGTTTTTGCCTTCATGGATGGCCAGGTTCAAGGATCCAGGTTAAGGGAAGTTTTGTTTGGCAAGGGTGCTATAACTACTACATTGGGTACACCTACTACAAATTTTGTTAAAAATGAAACACAGCCTTGCATTGAATCTGTCCAGACAAAACGGAGGCTAACTACAGAAGGTTGGGGAGGAACACAGCAAACATTGCCTTCTGACCCTATCTTAACAAAAAGGATGCGATCTATGAGAAGTTGGGGAGGACAACCCAGAGATGGTTGGGGTGGAGCACCCAGAGATGGTTGGGGAGGAGCACAGGAAGATATGCCTTTTGGTCCTATCTTGACAAAAATGCCGCAAGCTACTGAAGGATGGGGAGGAGCACCTACTGATAGTTGGGCAGGAGCTCCTATATATGGTTGGGGAGGAAGACAGCAACCAATTGCCCTTGGTCCTATCCAGACAACACAGATTCAATCTACAGTAGGCTGGAGTGGAGCACAGCAAGCTTTTTCCTTAGATCCTATCCAGCCAGAACAGATGCGTTTTCAACAAGGTTGGGGAAGGATGTAACAAGTTAATGATGAGACTTTTGGCAATGTAAATCCGAATTTAAATCATTCAAATTGTTGTTATAGAAATCCATTCGCTTCTAGTTTAGGTAATCAGATGTCTTGCGACAGAGAAAATTCCTCCTGGTCATACCAATAGCCCGTTCAGGTCCTAAACTTTATATGGTCTTCTACAGCCAACTTTTGTTCCTCCAAAGCATCCTCTGGGTTTTCATGGGTCCCGTAGCATAACTTGGGTGGTTTGGATAATGTCAAGTCAAACATAGGCATGTAAAATGTGTGAACCATTCCAAAGGAAAATCTGGGCATAGGCCACCTTCCAATCTAAGATAAATAGAATTTCGTTGATTCTTGCACTTTTCCTATTTTCTTTTAGGTGCCTTTTTTGGCGGTTTGGCCTCATCTCTCTATCCGGTGGAATGTTGGGTATTCTGTCATGAAATAGAAGGTTACTTCAAACTGACATCCACATTAGAATACATTTTCCATTCAGATCACAATCAAGAGAGTGCAACAGTCCGTATATTCCTTTAAGCTTGGAGTGCTAAGTTTGTCTATCTGATGGAACAGGTTGAATGCTCTTTTTCTGGGTATTTGTTTGAAAATTTGCATTAGAGAAGTGGGGGGGGGGGGGGGGGGGGGTTGGGCCTTGAAATATTTAAAAATTCTATCTTGTGTATGAGGAGCAGGGGTTGGGCCTTGAAATATTTAAAAATTCTATGTTGTGTACGAGGAGTAAAATTTCATTTCAAAAATGGTTGAAACGTTTGTTTCCAAGAGACCGAAACGAATGAGTGATGAAATCGAAATTTTAATATTTCAAGGTGTTCCATAATGTTTCAAAATGTTTCAATGTATATGTACCATTATTTCAGAATGTTTCAAGGTATTTCAATATATTTTGGTATATTTTGATTAATAATTTGAAAAAATAATTCTTAAATCTTTTATTTTTATTTCTATTATGTTTCCTAAACGAGTTGAAACGTTTTTAAAACATGTTAAAATATTTTTGTTTCTGATCGAAATAATGCATCAAATAAAATTTTGATCTTTTGTTGTGTATATTGAAGATCAGTGCTGTAATTTGCCAGTCACAAATTCTTCATCATTTTAGTTGGTTTTTGTTTGTTTTGGGCTCGCTATTGGGCAATGTTATGGGTCGCTCGTGGTTGCCTCTCTAGGCGGTTTTCTTGTCTCCCAAGTGGCGGAAGTTTGATGTTCTAGACTGCCTTTTTATTTTGTACTTACTATTGGCCTACACGTTCTTGTTAGTATTAAGAAAATTAGTATCATAGTTGTTTTGTCTCTTTAATTGGTTTCATACACCCGTGAAAGCAGTCTGGAGGTGGAAAATCTAGTTATATCAACTGCTAGAGCCAAGAATTATTGATATTGCATGCCTAATGTTTTATGTCTAGCATATGAGTTCATTCGTTTGATTGTTTCTCCGTTCATTTACCTAGATGTGCATCATTGTATGGACAAAGGCGACTAAAGTGAAGCCTCGAATAACCTGCAAGACAAGCAAGTGCTAGGTGAATTAGTGATTAGAGGCAGCCAAAGGGACTCCGATGCTTAAATCAGATTGAAAGTCGAGAGAAATCTCAAGTGAGTAGTGAGAATTTTTGTATATCATACCTGGTGCTCGAAGGCTTTATTTGTAGTGGTAGGAAGTTTTGTTCCATTAAAACTCAAACTCTGAGTTCGGAGTAGTATTAGACTAGGACTCTTGTTTCTTGCTTCTAAGTTAACGTTCGAAATGTCCTTGTTGGGTGGCATAGTTAATCTTATCACTAACTCTTCAATGTTTGGAGTAGTGTTGGATTAGGACTCTTGCTCCTAGGTCAATTCGTATTTGAGTAGGACTTGTTCGGTGGTTATCTTGATGCAAGTGGGAAAGGGTGATAGCTGAGTACTTGTCGCGTGCTTGAGGTAGTCTGAAGTACTTGCGGAGTGCTTGATGTAGTTTGAGGTAGCTGAGGTACCTATCGGATGGTAAGTGAGGTACCTGTCGGATGGTAGCTGAGGTACTTGTCGGGGTGGTATGTTGGTTTCCATGTGCTTTCTGGCCAGCAAGGCCTTAGGCTTTCGTTGGTGTGTCGTTGATTGACATGAGCTAGCTCTTCAAAGGGTCTCCCACAATTGCTCCCCCATACCTCATTTAATGATCCTAATTAATTAAGGTATGTTTTTTTAGCAACAAGGGCTCTTTGGGCCTAACTCTTTGCCATTGGGATTTTGTTGCCTAATAAATTAGGGCTTCTTGTTCGTGTGAGGGCTTTGGATAAAGAGTCAATAGAGAAGGAGAGACTTGGCTTGGATAGTAATGATGGAGTACAGTTTGAGCCAACAGAAGTGGCTAGTAGGCGCATTAAGGAAGCTACAACTGAAGAGGAGGAGGAGACTTGTTCCATATCATGTAGGCTAGTATAACTTTGTATCATTCATGCTGTGACCTAGTGTTTGAAAATCAAGCTCCAGTATGCTTTGATTGTAGGTATGAAGGGTGGCTTTTCCATATGTGAGGATTTGATGACTCTGATGCTAATGAGTCGGAGGTTGTTAAAGATAAAGGCAAGAGGCAATTTGTAACTATTGTTAGGGAGTTGCTTGCAAACGAACTAAATCTAGGGGAAAACGAATGTTGGGAGCTGATTCTCATATTGATGACGACATAATCATAAAGCTTCTTGTGGGTGTCAAGTCTTCCTTGAAGAGTGTGGAGACAACAACGAGAGGAATGGGTCACACCACCCTGCTTCTTGAGGATAAGGAGAAAGTGTTAAGAATGCAGTTAATGGTGTTGCTTGACTCATTGCTGCTACATTCATTTCTGGTAAGCTCTAAGCTAAATTTGAAATGAGTTTGATTTTGTCCTTAGTTGATACTTTGTTGCCTTTGTAGGAGACTTATTTTGCTCTCGAG